GGAGGCTGTCATCATGGGTGGGAGCTTCGCGGGCAAGCAGATAAGCGAGATACCAAGAATTGCATTAATTAGCAAGAACTGCGGAGGAAACAGTTTCCTGTCCAGGTGGCATTTGCGATGACAATTAACAAGTCCCAAGGCTAGTCTATACAGCTACTGTCCCGGAGCCGGTATTTTCACACGGACAGTTTTACGTTGCGGTACCTCGAGTAACGGCTCGACAGAACATTACTATTCTGGCAGAGAACCCTGCTACGACGGAAGACAGTCTGTACACCAAAAACATTGTTTACAGAGATATTGTAGCTTACTTTAAATAGAAGTGAAACTTTTTATTCCCGTCGAGCGTAGCGAGGTGGCCTGATTAATTGGGACCAACCCTCCGAGCGAAGCGAGGCCTCACGCTTCCTCCCTCACGCTTCATCTCGGCCTCAACTTGCCCAAAGAGCTCCGCTTGCGGGGCTCCGCTCGGCTTGTAATATCATACTTCTCCGGTCCGGAAAAGAATTAATAGTTATGTGTTTGAATAAAAAAACTCGCATGTGTGATTCGTCAATGACCATTCTGGGATAGGTACGATTGGTTAAAATGAGTTCATATGAGAGTTCGTATGCACACGGATTGAGAGTAATTGATAGAAAATGGATTCAATTGTTTTTAGTGGTATACCACTAGATTAAGCTTCGTTTGCGCTTTTTCTAGAATATTTTAAAGTTTAATTCTGATTATTTTTGACGCCAAAGCAAAAAAAATCTCCACCCCTCCAAAAGGTGATAGTTCAAATGGTCAGGTATTGGCATAATTGGCGGAAAATTTGTTCATAAAAATCGCTGCTGCTACGTAAGTACTTTCAAACTTCGGTTGGAACTGTACGACCGAAGTTATCGCCGATTTAAAGAACAGTTAATTCTTTTTCGGACCAGACAAGTATTATGATACACGTAGACCTTGAAATGTGCTTGTTGTGACGACAAGAAAATGTATCATCTCGTTAAATAGTCGAAGGCGCAGCAATTTAAAACGAGGCTATCCGCACTCACAATAAGAACGCTAAGACGCCATTTTAACTCCTGCTGATAACCTCGGATCGTTTAGCTACAAAACAATTAGCTTCGAACGTCTATCTCCAGCGGCCAGACTCGGGAGCGCGAGACGAACTATCGCGGTCACCAGCGCAAGACGAATTATCGCGTTCACCAGCGCGAGGCGCGCGATAAGAACCTTCACGCTGTGAGCGACCAAAGAAACGGTCATCTCCATCACGGTCGGCTCCACGACGGAACGAGTCGCGCTCGCCATCGCGGTCACCACCACGACGGAAAGATTCACGGTCGCCATCACGGTCCCCGCCGCGACGAAAAGATTCACGGTCGCCATCACGGTCACCACTACGGCGGAACGACTCGCGGCTGCCCCAGCGAGAACCACTCTCCTCGCGGTCGCCACCGAAGCCACGGCGCAGACCGCCCTCACGGTCCTCGCGATCACCGCCAAAAGCACGACGCACGCCGCTTTCACGCTCATCCCGATCACCACCAAATCCACGACGAGAACCACTGTCACGGTCACCACCGAAGTCGCGACGAAGGCCACCGCTCTCGCGTCCGTCGCGGTCGCCGAAACTCTCGCGAGCGGTAGGTCCACGACGCTCCCAGCGGCCTTCAGGTGCCACTGTTTGAGCACGGCTGGAAGGACCACCACGGCTAACTTGCGTCCACTCTCCATC